TGTGTGTGTGTGTGTGTGTGAGAGAGAGAGAGAGAGAGAGAGAGAGAGAGAGAGAGAGAGAGAGAGAGAGAGAGAGAGAGAAATGTGCTGGTACTCAACAGCTACCCGGTAGGGGCATACTGTAAATTTGGAACGCGTACCGGTAGGGGCATAGCAAAATATCTCAGGCCCAACTGACGCCGGGGTTTTATGGGAAATTTGAATCGTGGTCAGAGGCCGTGGGAGGGACACGACGCAACATAATAAAAATGGAAATACAGGGGCGCCAGAAAAGAAATCACCCAAAAATAAAAATAAAAACAACGAAATACAGTGTTAGGTACGAACCGAATCCTCTGGAATTGCGGGCAGCGCAGGAAGCGCAGGAAGGATAGGTTCGGGGAAAAGGAGCGTTTTGTTAGGGCGTTAGGGCGTATTCGAACGTCGTTTGCTAAGCGAAGGGCAAGATTGAGAGGAGATCTAGAACGCAGCTGGGTGGCCGGGTGGCTAACGGGGAGGAGCTAGCGACAAGTCGGGTTACTGACAAGATTGAGCGGCAGCGTGATTGCCTCGGCGCAGGGGTGTGCGGCTGTCGGGGTTTCTCGTGCGACGCTGGTGCCGTAGCCGGGTGGGTGACGTGTGCTGTGACTGACGTTGCGCGAGAGTACGCAGGGCTTCGCCAGTTGTACGTTCGTTAGCAACCGTCGTGAGTCGTTGCCACCATCTCAGAGGAGCTGCAAGGGTGCGCGAACAGAAAACATGGACAGAATTCAAAGAATCTTTTCTAGCGCGGGGGGAGGTGGTGCTGGGGGCATGCATGGTCCCCAGCCCGACTCACCTCTGGTGGACACGTCGGAGCAGGTGTACATCTCCTCTCTTGCGCTTCTGAAGATGCTGAAGCACGGTAAGTCTGCGTGCTTCCGTGCGTGCTTCCTCGTGAGTGGGTTCATGTGCGTGTGAGCGCGGATTTCGGCGGGCCTATGTACGTGTCTCCGGGCTCATGGGTGCCTTCATGTGTGTGGACCTGCTGCGTGCGGTGAGTGTGTGTGCGTGTGTGTGTGTGTGTGTGTGTGTGTGTGTCGGTGCATTCTTCCGTGTGTGCCGTCGTCTGGATCTGCGTGCGCGCGTGCGTGCGGGTGTCTGGTCGTGGGTGTGCGCATGCGCGCATGTGGATATCTGGATGTGCGCTTGTGCGTGTGGTTTCTTGCATCGGCTGTCTGGGTGTTGGTTCGTGCGTTGGCTGTGGGTGTGTGTCGGGGGGGGGTAGGAGGAGGGGGGCGTGTGTATAGCTCCCATGTTTTCCGTCCGGTTGTCTGGGCTGGGGGCAGGGCTGGGGGGGGAGGAAGGCATGKGGGGRGGGGGGCSGGGGGCGGAGAAAGACATGGCGGGGGKTGTGGGGGSGGAGGGATGCATGCCGCAGCGTATTGCATGCGGGTGTCTGGGTGTGTGCGTGCGTGATTGTGTGTGTGGGTGTGTGTGAGGGGGTGTAGCTCCGTGGATTGCTAAGGACGGTGAGTGGTCCATGCGATGACGAGTCGATCGAGTAAAGGAGCAAGCCGCAGCACGAACGATCAATCTATGTCCTCTTACACGTCGTAAAAGAACTGGTAACCATATCGAGGTGGGCAAGCTAACTAGTTACCGTGCCTTCTACCTCCAAACACAACGCACCCGCATCATGACTCGACCGGACCAGAGGCATATAGCTTATATACACTCAGGATTGGGGTGCGTTGTGTCGGGGGGAAGAGCGGTAGGTTATTGATCTATGCTGGCCAACCAGATTTGACGATTATGCCTGGTAAAATTTACAGTCGTCATAACCAGCAGTGATCATTGTCTACTCATCGCTCACAGATGATCTACCATCAATTCACACTCTCTCTCTTTCTCCCTCTCCCCGATCATCATCCATCTGGAGACGAAAAGTTAATGATCGATGCTGGTTATGAAGATGGTGACGTCTTACTGACGATGATGATGGGCAAGATGAACCACGATGGACGGCGATCGATGGCGCAATTGGAAGGGGTTATGGAAGTGCGATGGGTGGTGAGCGGGGAATGACTTAAAGCGGGGGGGATAAGTGGTGGTCCCCCCCACTACCGACGATTATGAATGTGCTGTCAGTGTAGAGGTGTCTAAACGGCACGTGATGGTTGCCACCTCCTAAAAATGGCGGGAATGATGATAGTGATATCGATGATGATAGTGATATCGATGATGATAGTGATATCGATGATGATGATGCTGAACGACGACGATAGCGCTGATGATGACGTGGTCAGTGATGAAGCCATTGATTGCATAGTGGAAAGATTGTGACGGCGACCAGAATCGTGATGGCAGCGATTGATGGTTGTGAAGACGACGGTGATGATGACAGACGATGATGGGGCTGTTGATGACGTGACGTTGATTGTATCGTGGAAAGATGATGATGACCACCATGATCCTGATGAGGATATATCTCATGAGTATATGGACACGTCATCATCAAATATATTGTCATCAACCATCCATCAGTGCGTATCTATATAAAACTGACGGATGGTTGGTGATGATAAATTTGATGATGGTATGTACATTTACTCTCGTGTGTCTGTATGTGTCTATATATATACATATGTGCAAGCGGGTCGATATGACACACGGGGGTGGGGGCAGCCGCCGCTCAACCTACATCCACGTGGGCGGCCTTGTACGCAAGAGGTTCTGAACAGGGGGATTTGTAAGAGAAGATATAAAAACGAATTATTTTTTATTATGTTCTTGTTTTCTTCTGTTTTTTTCGCCTTTGCGCTCTGATATTCATGTGACAATATGATTGTGCAAAACGGACGGCGTCTAACATCATGATGGCATCGCCGGCGACTGCCATGCATTTGATGATGGTGTTGTATGAGAGAAGTGTGTGGGCTGTCCATCTCGGAGTGTGTCCGGAGAATCCGTAATGATGACAGTTTGACGTTACTCGGCAGACAAGGAGGTGATGATGAGGACGGTAATCGGGCAGAAAAACAAGTAGGACGATGGTGGTCCCCATCAGTGCGGAAGACAACGACACATGATGATGAGGATGATGAGGATGATGAGTGATGGGGTAATCAAGATGGTGAAGACGAAGTTGACGGTGATCGCGGATAGGCTTGGCTGGCTCGTGATGAATGATGACGATGATGGGGTAATCAAGATGTTGAAGAATCGAACTGCGTGATGATGACGATGATGCGGATAGGCTTGGCTCATGATGAATGATGACGATGATGGGATAATCGAAGATGTTGAAGAAGGTAATTGATGATCGGATTGTGTGATGATGACGATGATGACGATGATGATGAACTGCTATCTCATGAGTGTGAACCTTCATAATGATTATGATGATGATGATGATGATGATTACGATGATTATGATGATTATGATAATGAACGATGATGATAAGTGCCGATGATGATGATGATGATGATGATGATGATGATGATCGATGATTATTGTAATTGTGATGACGAGCATGATAATGATGATGATGGTGGTGGTGGTGGTCATAATGATGACATGAATTGGGGAGGAATAAAGGATGAAGATTGCCGTAAGTTGATGATGATGTGTGCAGATACGATGCTTGACTTTGGCGATGGATGTGAAATATGGGTTGTTGCAGGACGAGCTGGAGTTCCCATGGAGGTGATGGGATTGATGCTGGGCGAGTTCGTGGATGACTATACCGTCAAAGTTGTGGATGTGTTCGCGATGCCGCAGAGCGGGACGGGGGTGAGCGTAGAGGCGGTGGACCCTGTCTTCCAGACGAAGATGTTGGATATGCTGAAGCAGACTGGGAGGTCAGTGATATCTATCTACTCGTGGAATGAGAGGGGCAGAAGAGGGCAAGCAATCTGGAAAAAGGAAAAAAGAAAAAAGAAGAGAGAAGGGGCTGAATATCGTCTGTACATGATCCCCCGCTTCTGTCTGTCTGTGTGTGTGTGGGCGCGTGTATCTTTGTTTGTCTGTCGTGAGCGAATGGGGGTGGGGACGGACAAAAAAAAGGGGAGCGAGAGAGAAGGGAGGAAAAGGGGAGGAGGAGGTTTTAATGAAAAGTCGGACGGGACATTGGAACAAAGGAGCGAGCGAGCGAGCGCGCGCGCGCGCGCAAGAGAGAGAGAGAGAGAGAGAGAGAGAGAGAGAGAGAGAGAGAGAGAGAATGGGGGGGGGAGAAGGTGAGAATCAACAGATGTGATGCTGTTTACCTACTCGTGGGGGAATCTGTTACGATGGTAGAGAGAGAGAGAGAGAGAGAGAGAGAGAGAGAGAGAGAGAGAGAGAGAGAGAGAGAATTGGGGGGGGAGAGAAGGTGAGAAACAACAGATGTGATGCTGTTGACCTAATCGTGGGGGAATCTGTTACGATGGTGGGAAAAAAACTCATCGGACGATCATCTTGGATATTTTATTGTCGACGTATAGTCCGTGTTATTCTCGTTAGGCAATCAGCTTCACTTTCATTTTTGTAATTTCGTTTTTGTAATTTCATTTTTGTAATTTCATTTTTGTAAGTATTGTAAGACAGTTGAGAAAAAAAAAAAAACAATATTCAGGCGACGAACGGAGGCCAAAATTGCAATTAGTATCTTGAACGGCCATCAGATCAGAAAGTTGACCACTGGTGAGGGGGAAGGAAGCAAGCTTCATACGAGTGCCTTGATGATCCAATCAAGGCACACAGCCAGTGCGCTGCTGCTGCTACTATTAATCACCACACTCGATCAATCACACCCCACACCCTACGCAGGCAAATCAGCGCACTGGCTGACGCCGGGTCCGAGGTGATGGCTAATTAGCTGTAGACGGCAGAGGCGTGCAATGAACGGGACGCTCACCAGCTATGCCGGGAAAAACGAACGCACGTGTGTTCGTTATGGCAGCTTCAGCGTCGAACACGTGGCATCATCGTGTAAGCTGATACCAAGTAGC